AGGCTGATCCAAAGGTCTGGGGTGGCCACCCAGAAGGCACGACTCTGAGGTCCCATCAGATTTAAGGGAGAGGACCTGGAGCGCACCCATCCTATCTAGCCTACAGTAGTAGGACGGGCAGATACCCTCAGGGAGAGGTGGTCCCGCAAGTAACCTGCCCTGTGCCATGTAGGGCTTTAACGGCAATAACCAGCACCTTGAATTGCACCTGGAAACAACCAGAAGCCAGTGCAGCTTGTGCAGCAGTGGTGCTACTCAGGTGAACTGTGGGGCAGCCAAAACTGTGTGTGCTGCTCCATTCTGGACCAATTGCTGCTTCTGGATGGTCTTCAAGGGCAGCCCCATGTAGAGCGCATTGCAGTAATCCAAGTGGGAGGTGACTAAGGCATGGGTCCTGAGCAAGGCCTCCCAGTCCAGGAATGAGTGCAATGTCAAATGTTAACTTCCTACTCCAGACTTCTTATCATATTATAGAAAACAACTGGAACATTTTCCCCCAACATACTAACCATTCCAGATGTGAGGGTGCATTCAGATACTGAATTGTGTCAGTACAATTTTCCAAGGAAAAGTGAACTTTTTAAAAGGCGTGTTACTGTCTGTTTTTTCCTATATTATTATTTCTTACATTTTAGGCCACTCAGTAATACTTGATACGTCTCCCCGGAATATGGATTGGCGCTAGGTTTAGTATGTAAAGATCCACATTCATTTCTGAACTACAATATGGATTACAGCTAGCAGCATTAAGCAAGGCAAATAAAAAACCAGTAACTCCTTCAATAACAAAACAAACATTATAAAATCTAGCACAGCAGAGGAGAAAACCTGTCCAACATCGTACATAAATGCTGATGCTAGATCACCAACAAAGCCTCGTATGTTGTACTAGTCATACAACAAAATGGTTTTAATTCAGCTACTTAAAAAAAGAAAAGATGGTTGGATACACATCTTTGGAAGATTTCAATATCGGAAAGCAAGTCTCCAATGATGTGTAAAACTCAAGACCAATGTCAAATTGCCCAGCAAAGGATGAAAGTTATTCCTTCAAAATGAAACCAAAAATTGCATCTTGAAAGCCCTATATGTGTTTATACTGAGGAACAGGACAAGTGCTCTAATCATTCCTCAAACTATGGAGCCTTATATTTTTGCCCCTTGGACTTTTCAGACCATGCAGAACCCTATCCAAAACTACTATGTGTAGCTCACAGAGTAATTTATGTGTTAAGTTTCAACATTTTTATTTCCTGCCCTCCTGAGCTCAGCTCGGATTGCAGTCTCAAATGCCCTTCATTCAAAGTCTAGATTCTTACCTTAACTGTGGTTCCTGGCAATGCGCTACTGCCCTCTTATGTCCATTTCAGCGAATGCTTATACTGACCTGTTCCAGCCTATGACTGCCTGACTGTAGAGCCACAGCAGAAGAGCTCAGAGTCAGGAGTCGGTCAGAGATTGGGAGAAGATGACTGAGGCCTACAGATGATATCTCATCCCTTTTGGGTAATGAGGGAGGAAGACTCAGGGCAAAAATGATAAATTATGGATAACATTGGGAACATTCCCACTTGAAATGGGGATGATTATGTGATCAAGAACCAGGATAAAATGGACTGAATTCAGTGTCTTGCCAAACATGAGTGCTAGAGGTGTTTGTTTCCATATGATCTTCCCTGAAGCTAATGAACATCGTTTGTTTTCCTGCACTTCTCTTCTCCTAAAACCCACAAAGGAATACAAGTATAATACCAGCAGAGTGCAGAGCTCTACATGTAAAGATGCTAAGGCTAGTACTACAAAACAGAATCTGATGCAAATAAACTTTTCAGAGAAGTGAAAAGTTCTTCCCTTTGTTATCCAAGCTCATAGTTCTTCATGCTTGGGTATGTTCATACATGCATTGCTTTTAGCACTGTGCAATGCTTTGGAAATAATTTGGAAACGTGCAGGAGTAGAAATGTAGCACCCATCTGCAACTCTTTAAAGCAGCGGGATCTTTTCCCAGAATCACAATGCTACATTTGTTTCTGGAATCAAATCCACAGCTCTAATTGCTATATTGATTTTATGAATTCACTCGCTGCTCTCAATTGCCCCCAAGTTACCTAAATGTTTGTTAACGTGCAAACTGGATGAGGTCTTTTACAGATAAGAACTTGCAGTTTAAGACAAGAACCTTTGTCTTAAAATTCTCTTTCCAGATCATTTGTGTGACGTTCATATCTTTGTAGCTTAGGGTTTGACTAGTGGGGGGGGGGCACACATACATAGTAAATCAAAAAACAAGAAAATGAAACCCAAATTGAACAAAATAAGCATCCGTTTGCTGGAGACAGTGAGCGAAAGAAGGGTATGGGCTTCTCCTGATTAAGAGCTGCTATGGGGGCTGTGGGGAAAACCAGAGCTGCTACTGTATTCCTTCAGAAAGTCCAATTCTGTCCCAATTCTGCGATTTCTTTTGTGCTGAACCCATTCTTCTGCCTTTAAACAGAACAATGAGGACCCAGAAATGTAATGTTCTCTGACATTCCCTTGTAGATAATTTAACAAAAGGCTTTTTAGCAAACTTAATGGAAATAACTCCCTGCCTGATCAAAAACACCTAGAAGTATGATCAGCTTCAGGGGCATAGGCAGGAGAAGAGTCAAGATGGAGCCACAACTGTGTTCCATGTGTGTTTACATGGGTTGTGGGTCTGGGCTTTGATTGTGTAGTTGTAGTCACCATCTTCACTTTTTTTACCCTCCATTGCTCTGGATCAGTTTCCTAATATGTTCTGAGGCCATCAACTGTTTCCTACCAGAGACGGTCAACAGAAGAAGCCATTTTAGCAATGGCAACATCTAACAGCAATCCAGGCAAAATTTCGGATGTATAACTGGAATAAACAGATCTATGCAATGTGGGCTTTGTATTTTTCAGACACCATCTGTATGTCTTGACCAGCACTGAACAGCCAATAATAAAAGAACAAGGTTATTATTATTATTGACTGTTCCCCCACTTTGGAACTTTTTTCCTATTTGCTTTCCTCGAAGATACATAAATATCATTTAATTCAAACATATTTTTGGTGGGTGGTTACAGTATTTGTATTACTTTTTAAGAGCTGTTTTTATCACTTATCTCTCAGCTGTCATCTACCCCAAGTGTTCATTAACAAAAGTTGATTGCATGACGCAAACAGCGTGGTTCTCTATTTCCTCTGAAAACATTTGATTGATTATATTATTAAAGGTTTTGAAAAGGCAACAGCCTTTCTCATGCAGCCATGTCAATTGGATTAGGAGAAGAAGAATCATTTCTGTACATATAAAATTACTTATATTATTAGTGACATCATACCAACTTGAGCCTTTGATAGGTTCTGAAGATAAAAATGCAGTTTACTATATTACTTAATTAAAAGCAAGCATTACATCTAACTAAATGTTCTTCCAACATTTATCAATCTGATCTAAAAAGCCAGTATAATTGCCAAGGACCACTTTAAACACATAGACCTTTCATCAGCAGATGAAATCCAGCTTTCCCTCAGTATTTTCTGAACTTTGCACATTATTAAAACTCGCTACAGTTATGCCATGCAAAGGAAAGCCCACAGAAGTAGGACAGGTTGTGGTGACAAAGTGGAAGATGCAAGCCAGAAATTTATAGCAGATAATTAAGCTCTGAATTATTCTGATTATCAACATGGATGCTTTGAAAAGTGATTAACAAGTTTGTGGCTATCAAGAACTACTACACAATTTATTCTTTGTTGCATTTCTACTCTACCTTTCTTCCAAAAGCTCAAGGTGGCTTAGATGGGAATCTCCCTTGTGCTGAATGTTGGGCTGAGAGAGAGAGACTGGCCCAACATCACCCAGTGAGTTTCCATGACTTGAGGTCAACTTGAAGTTGGGTGTCCCTGGTCCTGGTCCAACATCTTAACCATTACCCCACACTGGGTATCATTATGCATACAATAAAAGAAACATATGAATAGGAAGTTGCTTGTAGGTTTCCAAAAGGCAATTGAATGGACAGGGTAGCCATTTCATTCATCTGCAATGACTCTTCTTATTTTACTAATCTGTAAATTGAGAAAGACCACCATTCTCTAACTAACCTGTAATGTTTATGTTCCTTACAAAACTGGCTGAATGCATATGGTTCTGGCAGTCAATCATAAGTGAGGTGAATTACTGAAAATTCAAGTATATTTGGGCTGAATGGACAGAGCTTCCTTTAGAGTGTAGAACTGAACTTCTATCTGCTGAAATAGAGGGGACTCACAAATGCTAGAGGATGTTCAGCTTAAACGCATTTGATCTGAAAACCTTGGGCAACATCCACTAATTAAAAGATTGCAAATGATCTGCTACATATACCTCTATAAAATACAATAATGTTATGCATCTGTATTATTTACTTATTTGTTTATCTTCCAGGTGTAAATCCTGTTTTTCTTCCAGGAGTTGTGTGTGGGTATATGTATGTATATGTACCTTGGAGCCATTCTTGATTCATGGCAATTACATAGACTAGTCCCTGCAGTTTTCTTGGCAAGATTTTCGGAAGTGACTTATCCTTGACTTCTTCCTAGGGCTGAGAGAGCAGGACTAGCCCAAGGTCACCCACTTGGCTTCATGCCCAAGGCATGAAGAACTCACAGTCTCCCAGTTTCTAGCCCAATGCCCTAACCACTACACCAAATTGGCTCTCATATATATATACATACACACACACACACACATTCCCATCTCTGAAGTTCCTTTAAATGACACTTGGGTCTTGAGAAATGGGGACTGGCCTGAATGATTTCCCCAAACTAGATTCTCTTCTTGCTGTAAGTTCTTTCAAAAGGAAAAGACTTGCTCTTCCTAGTCTTACCAGACAGAGTACAGCCTAACGGACAGCAGATCGGTTTTCCCGGGTGTGTTATGCAGGGTTGCACGTTAAAAAGCCAAGCTACAAGCACACAACTGGAATGGGGACAGAGGAAAAGCTTAAATTCATTCTTTGTCTCCAAGAGAAATGCTCATAAAGCCGAAAAGTAGCACAACGCAAATACCTTAAGGTCTCGCCTTTCCAGGTGCAAAAGCTCAGAGCCTCGGATGTCGTGGCTGATGAAGGTTTCTTTGTACTCTCCCAAACTGAGCAGGTCCAACCAAGCAGCAACTTCATCCGTGCCCCATTTTTGAACTACCAAAGTTAAGAGCAAAACCCCCTTAATTTCTGCATGCTTGGTTGCATGATAAGCAAAGGTTAGGCCATAGAGAGTGGAAAACAGAACAGGACATTGCAGTGAGAGCAGAAATCACATATAATGGGGAACAGCTTCTCTCATGCAGGTTAAAGGTAGGGAAAACCCGGTAATCTGTATTAAAAAAAGAAAAGGGCTGTCTGCATTTTAGCCATGCTCTCAGCATCAGCGTCCATCCACGCTGTCAAGGTTCTCAACCCCAACTCATTCGCTTGCCTTATTAGGATCGGTGCTGTCAAATCTGTACATGTTCCAGAATATGCATATGACGATGTATTGATTGAAATGCAAATAGGAAAAAAATAGTCTTCCTTGGAAACCTAAACAGCTGCAATGTTTAATTCAAGCATTTCTCCTTTAACCAGGTCAAATAAATAGCACTTTCAAAGTTCTGTCCACATCGTTTCTTACAGCTAGTGCCCCACACTTAGCAGAGAAAGGATTTTAATAATGGATAAGGCGTGTAAAAGCAATCACGTCAGCCTGCATGCATTTTATCAAGAGTTGCTTCACTTTAGAAGTTACCTATGACCCAGGATACCTCAAAGGGGTTCCAAAGGCAGTTAGAATCATTTCAATGACACCCCTCCAATTAATTAACGTTTCTTCATGGGGCTTTCTTTTTTAGCATTTTGAAATTGAGATCCTGAGATCATATTGTTATAAAAAAAATAGCATTTATATACTGTATATGCAACCTATAACAATGAGGAAGTAAAATAAGGGAATCTGCTCAGGTCTGTTTCCTAATGAAAAAAAATGTTCTCTGCAGCTTCTGTATCTAAACAACTGTTGTTTTCCTATTCTTTGCCCAGATAATGGTTTCTGCACTGATTTTTCTGCAGAGGAAACCTTGAAGAATGCAGAAATTAGTAGCATGTTCTAGAGAACACGGCCATATTCCCAGAGGGTATTGGTCAAGTTTTATCTCTTGTGATGGCTAGTCATAAACCGATGGTCCACTCTTAAAACACATTGAGCCCTTGGCTGCATCTGTTAGAGAAGACCAGTAAGATAGCACATAATGTCTTTAAAAGAAGCTCATTGGCTTGCTAAAGTTTTTCACTGAAGAACATCTGAGAACTTCAAAAGGATTTCAGAGATACAGTTCATAGGGATGCAAAAAATGTAGCCTAGGAACCTCAAACAAGGCACCAGCATCTCATTTATTGCTTCTGAAGTCCCCCAGATGTGGCTTGGGCCTCAAATGTAGGCCTCTTTTCTGAATATTGGAGTGGATTGTGGGGTTTTAAAGGGCAAAGTGGGTGCTTTAAACCTTGCAAAATGCCAAAAGTGTTCATTTCACCCCTCAAAACCCCTGAACCTCCTCCCCAAATGGATCCTCACTTTGCTCACTTTTAAAATGTGGCCCTCCGTGTGCCGCACAAGACTTAGTGCCCTCCTTAAGCCAAGACAGTTACACACCCTTGACCTACAGGCAGACTTAAGGGACAACTTTATCATGGGATAGAGATACTTCAAGTCATCATGAAGATGGATTAACAAAGAAGCCCAAGACAAGCTCAATGCTTATTAGGTTACCCACAGTCCATTCACAGCTCTGTCTCTTCCAAGCAACAGTATTCTTTAAAGCATACCAGGCTGGGCGCTGGTCTTCTGTTTTTGAACCTTTTCCTTTTTAAACTTTGGCACTATACGAAATACAGTACTTTTACTGTTTCTTTTACAATATTCCAAAGGAGGATCCTGAAAAGGAAAGAAGGAAGATATTTCTTTTGTTCATTTGATGCATCCACCAGTTTATTCTGTAAAAGCAATACATAGGAGGTGAAGCTGTAATATTTAAAAAAAACACCCTATACATTCATTGCAAGATGTGCTACATTGAAAAGGATTGTTAAAAGTCCAAAAGGAAGACTACAATAGATAATGTCCAGGACAGAATAGGATGAAAGAAAAATAAAGTTACCCAAAGTTTATTCTTTAAAGGGATCATGAGATTTGACCTTAAAAAACAACAGGAAGACAGAATATTTGCTGAGCAGAGAAATGTTAGTAATAATTCCACAATATGGAAATGCCCTGAACAGAAGATGAGTTCATTCCTTTCCAAATCTAGATAACTGTTGGGTGTAAACCTGGGTGTATTATGTGTTGGGTGTATTATGATGTAATTTTTCTACTAATTTAACTTAAAATCTCTTCGGCAGTAAAACAAAAATATGTTCATATTCTCTGCTAACAACCTGAAACTGACGAGATCAGCCCTGACCTTTTCTACACAAAGAACAGTCAAAAACCCACATTCACTTGTAGCCAAACATGGCTGAAGGTGCTTCAAAAAGGGTACAGAAAAAGTGATTCAAATTAGTGTGACCACAGCACCTGCTACTCATTAAAGCACTCTGTTTTTATTCATGCAAGCCTTAAAAAAAAAGAAAAAAGGATGAAGCTGCTTTAAAAATCATATGAACTTTTCTGAGTCTTTAAAGAACTTTAAAGCAGCTGTATCTTTTTCAGTCTCAATCAGAAGCAACTCTTTGGGCTGCCAAAGAGATGCTGTGTTCACAGAAGGTTCAAATACTTCCTCCACTTCATCTTCGAAGCATCCATAGCCCATAGCAATCACTTTCTTTAACTTGTGTTAGTTCTTCAAGGTAGGTCAGGTCAAACAAAAGGAGCAGCAAGGGTTCAGGAATGCTCCTTCATTGTTGTAGGGTATAATAATAGAATCTTGAAAGCCCATCAGAGTTTCTTTCTACTACGTCTTATACCAAACAAAATCAAGGCAAGGTCATTTTGAGTTTCTTTCTCATGACTACTTCTTTCCCAGCTGAGTAATCTTTTCAGAGCCTCTTCCTCTCTTAATGGTTCATTCATCCCCTCCACATTGCCAGGACTGGGTTTACATTCCATCACATCTTGCCACATGTTAAGGACAGCACCAGAAGCCAGCCTTACTACCCGGGTAGAATAGGGCTCATCAGTTGGGACAGTGTAGTGGTTAAGGCATCAGAAACCAGAAGACCATGAGTTCTAGTCCTGCCTTAGGCACAAAGACAGGTGGGTGACCCTCTCTCAGCCCCAGGAAGAAGAAGGCCAGGGCAAACCACTTTCAAAAACCTTGCAAGAAAACTGCAGGGACTTGTGCAGGCAGTTGCCAGGAGTCAAGACTGACTCAAAGACAGTAAAAAAAAATTGGGACAGCAAATCTTATGCGGGCATTTTTGGGGAGGGGAGGCAGGACAGATGCATAGCACTTTAACACCACTGTCGATGTATGCCCCAAAGCCTAAGTTGCAGAGGATTTTGCTCCTCCGGAAGAATAAATGTTATTCCTTCATACAAACAGGCTAACATTTGGCCCAGGCAAAGCAACCTAAAAAAACAAAGTCACCTGGCTTTGCCATCACAACAATTGGAAGCTCTCCCCAGTCCAAAAACAAGTGTCCTATGAAAGAACAATACCATTTCCAAAGAATCTAGCAACTCTGATATAGATTTCCATGATGGTGCAGATAAATATGATAATCCACTCAGGTTTGAAAAGGTACATAAAGCAAGACAGACATTATGAGTTTTTAAATGGCGCTGCTTGCTTTGAGTAATGGCATGGGACAAATTGATTGTTGGTTTCAGATAGCATCTGAAATACTTTGGAATAACGGCAACGTGAGCAAAGAGGAGTTGCACGCCACAGAGTTTTAGGACTGCATAATCTAATTTACCCATCTAAAAAATGAACACTGGCTGGCGCGTATGAATTCCACCCACCTCATCATCATTCAGTTGTAGAATATAGCGGAGCCAAGGAATTTCAGCCAACTTTCTCAGTTCAGTCTCCAAATTGTGCACTGCAGTCACCAGCAACTCCTCGTAAGGGGATTCCAATTGCTACCGAAACAAAACAGATGATTTCATTAGGCAGAATCCTCCAATAAGAATCTCTCTCTCTCTCTCTCTCTCTCTCTCACACACACACACACACACACACACACACAC